TCCAGGAGTGAAAAGGGCACCCAAACTGTGTTAGTGGTGAGCAGGAATCTAGGATAAAAACCTGGGAAGATCCCTGTCTTGTACAGTGTGGGGAAAATGTTAGGGAAGGAATCTGATTCTGAGAACCCTTGTGTGTAAAGAGTGCATTGCCTTGCTGGTGAGCGACAAATGAAAGGCTGGGTCTCTGTTCAGAAGAAACCTGGAGACAAATTAATGGGGGCAAAATTGAGCTTAGAGGCTAAGTTGTTGAGAGTTGGGTCAAGTTTGGGGATATCACAGATTCAGGATTGTTATTGAAGCAAAACAGGTGAAACTTCAGTGTTAGGCTGCATTTTCAAGGCAAAAGTCTATGATCCTGGGCCTGGATGAAACTGGGTCTTGCTAGGAGCCCCTGAAGCCTTCCAGGGAAGGCATGCATACTTTCACATCTGGCGCCTGTGTGCTAATTTTATCCTCCAAAGGGAATAGGTTCTGAGTGGGATATAGGGCATAAGCAAAGGCTGAAATGGAGGCCAGTTGTTTGCTATTTCAATTTGAGTGATTTAGATCAGCATCAGAACAAGCAGAGCTCAGGGTAGGGTGTTTGGGAGGAAAGTAACGATGTGCAGAATTGGTTAAAGGAATAAAGAAATATCTTTGGGGTTTTCTTCTTACCAAAGTCCCACTGCCCCAGGAGATGCCCCAGGTGGGCAGGTTCCATGCTTTGGATCCTCGCCTGGAGGTTACTCAGTTCCTGTGGGATCTGGCTGAAGGCAGCCTTCTGATGAGGGAGCAATGTCAGAGCAACTAAGACATGTTGCTTTGGCTCCAGAGGTGTGAGTTTGAGCTGTGCTGACTTCAATTTGTGCACCCAACCCATGCAAGCCATGAGTCTGGTTTGTAGTGTGCAGAGTTTGGGGGTGCAGGTCTGTGGGTTTGTGATGCAGTTCATGGGGTTGTAAATAGGTGACAAGAGCATGGAAAGGACATAGGTCCAGTCCAGGTTGCCCAGTGAGGTTTTTCTTTCCTTCCTGGCACTTGGTAGGGAAAGATACCAGGGAGCTGCAAGGAAAGGAGTTCCCATGCTGTGTGTTGTGTGGGAGTTGGTTCCTAGGGCAGAGTACACTGCTGCCAGGGAGCGAGGGGAACTGAGGGGAGGTGAGAAATTAAAAGCAGAGACCAGGAGGAGAGGCAGCGCAGGAGCCAGACAGAGTGTTCCAGCCAAGAGGGATCCCCTCCCTGCAGACCTGTGTGCAGCCAGGGGTGCGTGCAGTACTCATCGTGCTGTACCCATAGCGTTGCTTCCACAAGGATGCTCACTCTGCAGGCGTGCAGTAACACACTGGTGTTGCACGCCCAGAGGTTTAAATGCTGTGACACACACATGAGACACCCAGAGAGGACACATCATTCTCTGTGACATCTCACAAATCACTCATGTTTTCAGCAAAAATCATATTTGCACACAGACACACATATATGTTCCATGCATCAATACCTGCATTCCATTGCCCACGGCAGGCACATGCACAGCACCAGAGGCCACACATTCCTGCATACCCATGTGCACACATGACACCACGTTGGCCGTGTTGCCCCCTTTCAGCATTATCCCATGCAGATGGACACACTCATGGCAATACTGACAGACATTCATGGTTTTGTGGCTTCCAGGTTTCCTTGCTTGGCAGCATAAAACTGGCATGTGAAGGTGAGGCAAGCACATCCCTGTGGTGAACGCCACACTGATGTACATGTGCAAACACACATACGCATCCCCCTTGGCTTCTGTTTGCCTTGCTTTTACTCTCCTTTTCCTTCTGTTTAGCCAGTTATGGTGCTTCTTCCATGCCCCTGAAGCACAGGAGCAGATGGTTTGGAGGTCAGTTTAGGATGATGTTCCTTTTCCACTAGTGGCTCTCTTGAGCTGCTTAGCTCAGTAATAAGTATCTCACAGATGAAGATCTTCCTTGCCTATCCACAGCGACACCTCTGTTATCTCTGAGCACCTATTAGAAATCTTGGGTCCAAAAGCCTGTTCAGATTGCCTTCATGACCGCACTTTAACCTAAGTAGCATCTCAGGCTGTGGTGGCTTTTCCAGGTTCAGCAGCATCAGTTAGCTTTGACCAGATGTGGCAACTCCATCTCCACTGTGCTTTGTACACGTGTCTTGCTGAGCCCCAGAAAGACTCCCTCACTTGTCCCCTTTCAGCCTGCATTATTCATCTCCTGTAATGCACAATGAATGTTTGTGGGAAGAGCCATGCAGGTACAACTGAGCACAGTGCCGAGGAGCAGGCATTCCTAGCAGGCTGAAATTGCCTGGGTGCATGGGCCAAGTTGAGATGAGACAGGGGAAATTTTTACTCCTAAGCACTTCTGAAAAGCCAGTGGTGGAGGTAGAGAGGAAGAGGGGCTGGTTTGGAGGGGTTGAGGTGTTGGTGGTGGCTTCCCCACATGTTTCTTCAGCCTCCTCCCATGGTATCGCATAAGCATGTGTGTGGTATATATGTGGGAAGGTGGGAGTGCTCTGGAGGAAGGTTTGAAGTAGGTGGCTTTGGGGAGCAGAGTCTGCATGCCTCAGTAACAGTGGGGAAGTTGTACTTGCATCCACTGGGGAAGGGCTGGGGGTGTTCAGCGGAGAGCTGTGGGATCAGGGTGCTGGGCATACAATGTGTGCGAGGGCAGAATGCTCCTGGAAGAGGCTATTGCAGTGTACACGTTACTGAGGTCTGTCTCTATGTCCAATAGCACCAGACAGAGCTTGGGGGACTCCCTCCATTTTTCCTCTGTGTAGCTGGAGCTAGACCTGATTGCAACCCTTGCATTGCCTGCCTCCAATCCATCCTGATGCCAGCCTCTTTGTATCTGTGGGCTCTTCTTTTTGTACCTGTGCCAATACCCACTGTTCCCAGTATAGCTACAGACCCCTGCACCACATGCCTGCAGTTGCACCCACATCAGCTGCTCTTCCCCCCCTGCCCCAACCCTATGTTTTCCCATGCCTCTCCCATATTCCAGCAGTACACAGTACACAGGCTCGCTCTGATGCCGAACCCTGATCGCTCTCAGTCACTGATAGCAGTATCATGCTGTGACACTACCGTGCTTGTTAAACAAGTCTGGCAGAGTGCTTGCTGTGCCATCCTTGGTGCCAGGCCAAACTCCTCTCCTTCCATCACTCCTTCTTACCCACCTTGCACATCTCCTTGTCTCTCCTGGGGCTTGGGAAGAAGTTGGTGCCATCCTGGTCAAATCTCTGCTTCTCATAAGGGTTTATCTACTTCTTCACCATGCTTAGGTTTTGCAGTCACGTCCCCTGATGCCAGCATCAGCCAATTTCAGAGCACTTGGGGCTGGTGGGACCTTGCACTCTTCTTTGCATGCAAATTATACACATCTAATGCCAGAAGAAAGGAGAAAAGGAGAAGGGATGAGTGTGGATGCTTTTGCAGGCTTTCTGCTCCAGAGACCTTGCTCCCAGGAGCTGCAACATGTGTCAGCAGACAGACACATGGGCTTTGCTGGGAGGTGGTAGAATGGGGAGAACTAGAAAGTGCAGAAAAGGGGAAGATCTCAGGGATGGAGGCAGTTTAAGCAGAGCTGGTGTGGCAGTGGTGTGTGTGTGAGTGCACACCCGTGCAGGTACATAGAACAATACAGCTGCCTCTGAAGTGAGTTCCAGCTTCATAACTTTGAAGAATGTCATTTTTGGGGTATTGAGTGATGCTGGCTGGCTGCATTTCACGTGTAGCTTGTGTTTGTCTGCCTGTGCTGGATGTAGATGAGTATTTGTGTTTTCCATGTGACAGAATATGGCTGGTGTTTGATGGTGCTGGGGCTAGCGTTTACCATCAGGATGGTATGCTGCTGTGTGGGCTGAGTTAGGTGGGTAACAGTTATCTGATGCGATCAGTTTGTATGCTGCAGGCGATTTGTAAGCATAGTACATTTGTGTGTGATAGGCAGCTAGTGCTGCTTGCTTGACTTACGTTCCTCAGCGCGCGGATATGTTTTAAGTGCTTTTCTTTTCTTACAGATGTATGCGTTGTGATTTGTTGCTGCAGTGTTTGTGCTGATATAGATGGTGTGTATGTGTGTGTGTGTATACGTGGGCACTTTTTCTGGTCTTTGATATGGAGGTGGGCTGATTAACTGATGTGCACCTGTTTGGTGACAGTTACGTGTAAGTGGTCAGGAGTTCTCGTGTGGTAGGTATGTTCAAACATCCAGCATGCAGTTGTGCAGTGGTCAGTATTCGCTGTGCTGTATATAAATGTTTTTGCTGTGAGAGGTGGAAGAGGCTGGGTGGAGTTGATGTGGTTGTGTGGTGGTTGTCTGAAACACCACGTATGCAGGTTAATACAGCTGTGCAACCCCATCAGTGAAGGACGCACATGAAGAAGAGGAACACCTTACCCCTTGAAAGGACTCTGAATATTTGGGGGGTGTATTGAGGGTGGTGCATGAGGGTATGAAAAGGCCGGTGTGTGTGCATACAGCATGTGTGTAGCAGTCTGAGTGTGAACAGTGTAGTTGCAGGGGAGTGATGTGAGCAGGGCCAGGAGACAGCCTGTCTTCATGTGTGCGGCCACGTGCGTAGGCACACTTCACCTTCTCCCTGCACAGGGCCAGGGGCTGTCTCCTGTTTGCATGCAGTGGGACAGACAGGCTCTTAGGAAACAGCCCATCCTTTTCCCATACTTTAGATCTGCTTCCATCTGTCTGTCTGCCCTGTTGCCTGTGTCCAGTTGTCTGTACCCATCACCACCAGTACGCCCTGAGCAGCTCACACCCCACACTGCCTGTGGACTCAGCAGCTGTGCATCTCTCCGTCCCTCCCACACACACACATTCACATGCACATGCACCCTGGATCTTCATCTGTGGTATATTCAGTTGCCATTGGAAACCTAAGAAAGAAGTGAATCTACCCTCCAAGTCTTAAGCTGGTGATTTTTTTCCCTTTTTTTTTTTCCTCCTTTTTTTTTTCCCTCCCCTTTCCTCCTCTCCTCACAGAAGGCGAAGTCGTTCGCAATGAATCCATGGCAGCTTCGATCGAGCGGTGAGCTGGAGCACCTACTCACAGGCCACTCCTTGATGTGACTGAAGAGAGGCCTTTCCCAGCACTTGCCGAGGAGAGCAGAGCCCTGGATTTACCTCCTGCACACCCGGGCATCCCCAGCACTGGCACTGCGAGGTAAGCCAACCTCAGCACCTGTCTGTGCACCTTTATCCATCCCTGCTTCTTCCCCAGAGGAGTGAGGAAGGGGAAAAAGAGGGGTTTCTGCTGTGCTGTGAACAAAATATAGGCATCCATCAGACCCCCCCCTCCCCCCCCCCGTCGTTATGGAGAGCTGCTCCCCCTCTCCAACCCCCTTTCCCTGCAGCTCTGCATGCCTGTGCAGGGAGGGGATGTTTGCCGAGCAGCAGGGGTCCCCTGCGCGCAGTCCCGAGTGCTTTCCTCTCCTTTCCCATCCCTCCCTTGGCACACACCTGTCTGCTCTTCTGCCTACAGCATTTCCCTGCCCTCCCCCTGTTTCCTGGGAGAAGGGGCAGCCGGGCTGACGCTGCTGCAGCGGAGCAGCCGGCTGCTTTGGCCAGCAGCATGGCTGGGCTCCGCGGCCCTGGAATGAGTCCCCCTGGGGATGCAGCTTGCATCAGAGCAGCAGTGGGCATCTCAGTACCGGGAGTGGGGCGTGCAGGGGACGGGCTCTCCCTCCCTCCTCATCTCACGGATATTTTGAGTATCCCAGTTCCCCACGGAGGGCACTGGCCTCCATTTCCTAGCCAGGTACCTCCTCTGAATACCCAGCCCAACCTGGCACAGCTTTGGGGGTGATGGGCGTGCGCTTTGTCGCTGCTTAGCTGCTGTCCCCTGGTGCTCCTGCCCAGCTAGGAGGGATGTTTTCCTTCTGGAGACAGCATGTTTCATAAGATGGGAACACCGTGTGCCCTGCACAGGCAGTGGAGGGCCCCTGTGCCGAGCCTGACCCATTTTGGGGCGCAAAGCTCTTGGGAGCACCTGAAAGGGCCTCCCGCTGCCTGGGGCTGCCCTCAGTGCCCCTTTCCCAGCTCCTCTGCTGGGAAGGCAGGAAGATCAGCCGCACTAGTTCTATGGCATGTCTCTGTGCTGCTGATGCTGCTGCAGCGTGGGGATGGGAGCAGGGAGCAGCTGTTTCTCCCATCGCCTGGGCAGGCCCAGATGCGCTGCTGGCCCTTGAGGAGCACGGACGTGCCTGGAGATGCCTTTCCCCAGAATAAGACCCTAAAGCTACAAGCTGCTGGCAAGGCGGCAGGCAGAAGGCGTGCTGAGAGTGGGGTTTAGAGGGGAGGTTTCAGGGTTTGCACCTGCCAGGCTGTGGATTCAGGCTCTGAACAGGCTCTGGGGGTTTCTGTGTCAGGTTTTGGGGCTGCTGCTTTTCTTCAAGGGGAAGGGGACAGTAGGATCTGTGTTGTTGCATGCTGGTGTGGTGTCTCCTGAAGGAGGTGATGAGTTGCTCTTCTCCTGCCCAGGTCCCATCTGGTGACGCTGGCAAGAAGGGTGCATCTTCCTCTGCATCTCCCTACTGCTATGGCAGTACCCTGTCATCTGCCCTCACTTCTTTGATGCCCCCTCTGACTACCCTGACACCTACCCTTCCACTTGAACTGCTGCCTTCAACTTCTGTCCGGTGTTCTTCCTCTTTGGGGGTACTTATAAACTGTTTCTCCCTCCTTCAACAGCACCCCTTCCTCACTCCCTCTCCAGCACTTCCCATCCCTTGTGACCCCTCAGTGCAGGAGCAGGAGCGGATTTGGGCATCCTCAGGAAGGGCTGATGTCCCCTGGCAGGATCGTTTCTGATTGCTGCTGCCAGCTGACAATACTGTGAAGTGATCTTTTCCCCTGTGGTTCACACCCTTCAGTGCGTGAGCGTGTGTGTGTGTTGCAGGTGATGGAATGACTGTAGCGATGCTGATGTGTCACTGCTCCTCTTGGCCAGGGCCCAGCAGGGAGCAACACTGTGCAGTTGCTCTCAGTTCCTTTACTGGGGAGTTTGCAGAAAGCAAACTCTTCCCTGATGGAGCCTCCATAGCCATTTGGCATTGTTTTAATTCCTCAGCCCTCTCAGGACATGGCTTTGGCACTGGCTCAGGGTGGACAAGACAATAAATCCAGCTCTAGGGAGCTTGGTACTGGGTCAAAACTGCTGCTGCTGCGTGGTAGAAAATGCTGATCCTGTATGAACTCACTCTGCTGCTTAGATTTGTTTAGAAAACAATGTTGGCTTAACTCTGTACTGGCAAGGTTTATGTTGAGCTGGGTAATATCTGTCTGCACAACTCTAGCTGGATGATGGCTCAAGTGTTTGTCCTTCCACATCTGGCACGTCTCCGGATCGCGTGTGCTTTGGCTAATCTGACAGACGCAATTGCACACCGTAGCCAGCCAGGTTGAGTCCCTCCTGTTGGGAAAGCTGGTTTGAAAGAGGGTTGAATTACTGTCTTAGCAGGGGGCAAGCCATACCCCACACCAGGCAGCTGCCCTCCCCTTTCAGGAATTACAACAGCTCTGGTCTCCCAGGTGTCTTGAGAAGTGATGCATGGCAAGGCAGAAACCCAGCTTTCTGTATCTCTTTCTCTCCTAGCACGAGCCTGGGGCCAGGGAGATCCTAGAGAGACAAGTATGTCCTCTGGCTGGTGGCCACGTCTCTGCCTGGCTGTCCCCAAGGGTTTTTCAGCGGTGTCACACACTGAAAAGGGCTGTCCACTGTCCTGGAGAGCATGTGTGCAGGGATGAGAGGATGCCAGCTGGAAGGAGGACAGGCTTCATGCTGAAAAGGAAGGGAAGTGTCGTGTCAACAAGAGGATGCTGCTCTCTAGCCCTGACCATCGCGCAGACCCATGATCAGTGCATGGGGCCTGGGAGAAGTGTTATCTTTCCTCATAGGATCATGTTGACAGGAAATGAGGTTACACCATGGATGGAAGGCAAGGTGCTCACGTGGGACAGTGTACAAGCAAAACCCCCTCCTCTTATGGCAGGGACTTATTCTAGGTCGGTCACTCAGGTGCTTGTGTTGCTGAGGGAGATTGAGTTGAAGGGGCGAAAGGGCAGGAAGGTGATGAGGGATGGTTAATGTCATGATTGTGTGTGGACATTTGCAAGCCTCTGCTGATGAGGAGGAGCATTTGCTGACCAGGTTTTGCAGTCTGAAGACAACTTTACTTTAAAACCCAGCAAGATTAACTTCTGGGGTTGAAGGCAAGAGATGACACTGCCTACAAAGATTTGTTGCTGAGGACTCCTGAACACTGATCCCAGCAAGAACTTTCATGGGTCACTGTGCTGTGCCTCAGTTTCCCCTACCTTTACGTGGGACACGGTGTCACCACAAGAGGTGGAGAGGAGTTGAATGGGGAGGGGGGATGTGAAGTGCTGCTTACTGTTTGCATGGTGCTTCGGGTAGCACAGAGAGGTGCTGTTTGAAGAGGTGCAGCCTGTGAACTCTGCTGACATGGCTGCAAGCTGACGTTCAGAGGGGGCTGGATGCTGGAGGAGCATCCGTAATGACTAGGGTGCTGCGTGCCAGGGCCGAGGCAGCGATTCACTCAAGCCTCTGTTTGTTTGGGAGGAGAAAGGGAGTTTGTGGCTTGTCACTTGGGAAACAGTGGGGATTCAGCAGTAAAGGGCAGGCTTCATGGATGGGCCTCCCCAAGCATCCATGCTGCGTATCTGTGTATGTGTGTCAGGGGAGAAAAAGGGACCCTGGTACAGGCCATGACTAGTGGCCAGCCATCCCCAGACCTGTCATTTTACCTCCCCCTTGTACCCCCTGCACAGAGAGGACAGGCTCAAGATGCACACACGGGACAGACCCATAAGCATGAGAAGAGGGAGAAGAAGTAAAAGCCTTCCTAGAAGAGCAGCTGGATGGGATTCATGCTACTTCCCTGCCTGGCTTAGCCCACGTGTGGTAGCACAGCATCTGTGTCCATGCCGCTTCATCCCAACCCAAGCAGGCACCTTCAGCAGGGTTGTTCCTGGTGTGTGGGGCTGGGTCACAGGCTGGGAGGTCATGTTGGGCTAACTCAGGAGATGAAGAAGATGTCTTCCTCCCCTGAGCTTCTCCCTCATCTCATCCCTGCTGTGCTTCTTCAGGTGTGAGCCCTGCCTTGTTTCTTGGAGGTAGAGACCTGCAGGTAGTGGAGGGAGGTATCATGGAGGGAAAGGATATTCTGAGGCACATAGGAATATAGAGGGGACGGAGACACTGAGAAAGAGGAAAGAATTGAGAGCAAATGGGCAGAAGCAGCAAATGAAGGGAAGGGTGGCGAGGGAGGCAAGAAGAAAGCAGCATGTCTCTGTGGTGACGATGTGGTGTGGAAGTCTCTTACACAGACACTTCAAGCTAGAGCTCTACCTGACTATTTTCATACTAGGCATGGAGTGTGGCAGGAGAGCCAGCTCTGCATGGGGGACCACTCATCTCCCATCCACCTTCTTAACACAGGGAATAACCAGCCTGAGATGCTCCTGCTCTGAGGTGTCTTCAGTGGCTGTCTTCTGTGGCTGTTTCTCTGCTCTTGATAAGGAGGAGAAGCCCTCCCCACGTCCACTGTCCTCCTGGCCCTAGCCCTGTGGAGTCATAGGTGAGTGTGCTTCTCTGGAGCATGCTGCTCTCAGAGTGTGCTGCTCAGCACTGCTGGGAATTGTCTTGCTCTGTACTGGAGGGATGTTGGTGATGTCTTAGAGCCAAAGAACTTGCCTTTAGACTGCTTATGGTCACATTACTTCACATAGGGAATGAATTCGACGTGCTACGAGGCAGATTTTTCTCTACAGCTGCCCCATCAACATGTCCCCTAAGAACTGAATAGCAGCAGTTAGGTAAGAGGTATTTATGGAAGTTTCTACCACTTGTACAAAATATACTTGAGAATGTATCTGTCAGGTCTGTATGCCAGGTCTGTCACAGGGTAGGTAGATTTCATGCAGGTGTTCTTAGTGTCTTTTTGATGTGAGTGTGGCAATTTCCAGAAGCTGGATTACCTGCATTGTCTTGCAGACAGGCTTGCAGGTGAGCATGTACCCACAGCCGGTCATATGTTCACTGTGGTGTGTTCACTGTGACAGAAACCTGTAGGTGCTTCAGGCACATGTTTAGCTTCCTCCACATCCCCCTGTGGCTTGAAGTCAGTGGCCTATCAGGGCCGT